TGACAAAGGAGAAATGAGACAGAGAGGGCTCGGAAACGAGCTAGTCACCCAGCTAGAGAGCAGTAGAACCATCCGCAGGGGGGCATATATGTAAAGCGCCTGGCATACAGTGGGCCCTTATTATTCTCAGGATGGCGGAGAGGGGACTGAGGCATGGGCTACCTGACACCAAGGGCCCAGTTTCTCCCCACTTGGTCCGTAAGTTGCCATCTGCCCCCTCCCACCTCTGATCTCAGTGGAGTGGACCCAGGAATCTGGGAAAGAGACACATGAATCTCCAGTTGCCCACTTTGCTTCCTTGCCTCACTCCATCCTTCCTTCCTTCCTCCCACTTCTCCTTCCCTCCCCCGACCCCAGGCCTCCTGTCAGTGGAAAAGATGAGTTGCTGGCTAGAGGGAACTGACTGGCTGCTACCTGTTTTCCTCCAACCCCAGGAAGTACATGGAACTTGTTGTCCCCTTCCTCTCCTTGGACAAGATGGAAGCCTTTCTCAGATCTCTGCTGAATTCAGAGTTAAATTGGAGCCCTTTGGGGTTGTGTAGCAGAGAAAGAGGGTGACAGATCTCGATGGAAATCCCAGCTCTGATACTTACAGGCTGTGTAACATCAGCCATGTCTTTTTAAGTTCTCTGAGCCTCAGTTTCTTCAAGTGTCAGATGGTTAAAAACTAGTATCAGCTACCCCATAGAATAGTTACCTCAGAGATTAAATGTGCCAGAGTGCTTTACCTGAAAACATTCTTTTTTTCTGTTGCCTTTTGTGGAACTCACCTCTCTCCTCTGAGGTGGTTGTTTGAGGGGTGGGGGCCTGGAGAGTTCAGAGCCAGGAAAGGGTCAAGGAGCTGAGCTGCCTCCCTCTCTGGGGCCGGAGCAAGTGCCAGCCCCGGACCAGCTGCCTGGGGTGGGTGCTGGGTGCCTGGGACTCTGGGAGTGCTCAGGTTTCTCTCACCATTCCTGATGCCGCCTGGGGCTCGTTAAGGCTTCCCTGGCCTTGTGTGCCAGGCAAGAGGACGAGGGCACAGAGGGGAGAAGCCATGGGCGGACATAGGGGAAGGGGAGATGGTCGCCCTGCCCCGTCAGTCTGTCGGTCCCTCTCTCTCCCCTCTCCCTCTCTCGTTCTCTCTGTTCTCTGTCCTCTGGTCTTTCTGCCCTCGTCTCTAGCTCTGTGTCCAGCTTCTCAGCGGTGTCTCTGTCTCTCTCTCATTTCACTCTCTTCATCTCTCCATTGTCCCCTGTCCTCTCTATGTCTATGTCCCTTTTCTCAGTCGCCTATTCCTGCTTCTGTCACTTTCCCATTCCATCTCACTCACTTTTGTCTGTCTGTCTCTCTCTCTCCTCTCCCCCTACCCCATCTCAACCCCGAGGTGGCAGAGGAAGGAACAGACATGACATACAGACCCCCAGCTGTCCAAGGGCCAAAGGCAAGCATCCTGCCCTTCTCCTTCAACCCTTAGATGTCTGCAGCCCAAGCTCCCAGCAGCCTTGACCCCTCTCTGCCTCAGGCACCCTAGCTGCCCAGTCGGAGCACTGGGCGGAAAAGACAGACCCCTCCAGACCTTCCTGGACCAGCTCCCTGCCCCCAGCTGTGCCTGAGCCCTCCCCACCCCCACCCTCTCGCATCCGATTCCCCTAATCCCTGCTCCCCCGCCCTCCCCTCTGCCCCACTTTTCCAGGACTCTGATTGGCTGATTCTACTGACTGGACTGGGGGGGGAGGCTGGCAAGGGAGGGGGCAGGGGGCAGAACCAAGGGAAGGGGACGCTGTCAGGCCCAGGCCCCTGGGGGGCCAGGGCCAGGCCACTGCCTGGGGGCAGCAGGCACCAGACACTGAAGGTATGAAAAGGGGCTGTCTCTGGAGGGAGTAGGAAAGGATCCCAGGGGGACCCTCTGCCCCAGTAAGGTCATGGGAGGACCGGGCTAAGCTTGCAGCCTCCTGGGTTTGCCTTTGTTCCTGGGGACCCCTGTTGCTGGCAGGGGGTTGCCAGAGCCATGAAGGGCAGCCAGAGTTCCCTGACTGGTTGACAGAGAAGTCGCAGAAGGGAGCTGGGCCAGCAGAAGCCCAGAGGGGTCCTGAGGGCCTCTGGGCCAGCCGTGTGGAGCCTGGCAGGGCTCCTCTCGTGGCTCTGGGGTAGGAGGAGAAGCTTCCAGGGACGGTAGTGGAGTGGCTGGCCCCGAGTTTCATTTCCCCTTGGGGTCAGACCCAGGCATTCCCCTCCCAGGGGCTCGTGGCAGTTCCTCCCGCAGAGCCTGAGCTGAACATTCCCGCGGCTGACAGAGGGACCTGGGGAGGACAGGAAGGTTGGGAGAAGAGGCTCTGAGAATGGCCACAGGCAGTCCACCTCCCAGATCGAATGCCACTTTCCTAACCCGAGACATCGACAGTTAATTAAGAATTACGACTGGGACAAAATCATAACTCTTTGGGGGAGCCTGAAAGATCCAGCAGCCCTCCTCCAGATACAGGCCTCAATATTCCTCTCTAAGCAGTGGGATGAATCACTCACCTGACAGTTCTCCCTGGGGTAAGACTTAGCCTTTGGGATTCCCTGGGGGAAGCAAAACCAGAAGAAGGGCGTAGCCAGAGTCCTTGTGGTCCAGCAGGCGGCCTGCAGAGAAGGCCTGTGATTTTCCTGGGTTTGTAACATGCCTAAAGGTCTTGGGGGAGGGAGGCTGGAGAAGGGGGAAGTGAAAATCACCCAGAAGGGAAGAACAACAGGTCTGCGCCCTCCCCCAGGCCCACAGGGCACCGTGCTCCATTGCTCCAGAGCCAGCCAGCAGGGGAAGTGTGTGTGATGGGGGTCACACTTCTGAGTGTGGGTCCCCAGCTGGGAAGTGGGACTGCCAGGCTCGGGTTGGGCTCCCGAGCTTCAGCCTTCCTGCCCCACATAATGTTTTCTCTGGTCTTTAGGCAGCTTGAGCCGGGCAGGGCCCCTCCCTCTGCTACGGCAGACCCCCATCATGCAGCCCCCATTGGACCTCAAGCAGATCCTGCCCTTCCCACTGGAGCCAGCACCCACCCTGGGCCTCTTCAGCAACTACAGCACTGTGAGTAGCAGCCTGCCTGCCTTCCCCACCCTTCTGCCACCCCGGCTGCTTCCCTCCCTGCCCTCTTCTCCCCTTGTATCTAATTCCTTATGTCTTCTTAGGGCCCCATCTCCTTTACTTCTAGTCAGTTACAAGTGTTGTTGGCTCTCTGGTACACTATTGACAACAATAACAATAATAACTAATATTCGCTGAAATCCGGCTATGGGCCAGACACTCTGCTAGGTGTTTTATATGAATCATCTCATTCAGTCCACCATCGAGAGAAGTCACAAGACCTAGACTGGTGGTAGTGAGTACAGGGAGGTGGAAAGAGAGACTCTTCAAGGGCACAAGCAGCCTGTTTGTAAGCTCCAGCTCTCTGGAGCCCACCATTGGGTGGGTAGGGTAGGGTCAGTGGGGTAGGGCTTGGAGGGCTGGCAAAGTCATCTAGATTTAATCACTATGAAATAGGGAGGCATTATCCATTCTTGAGCAGGAGAGTGAGTGGGAAGGGGCAGTGTTTGAGGCAGGTGAGTGGGGCAGCTGGATGGAAGGGAGCAGAGACTGGAGAATGGTGGCCAGTTAGGAGGCTGTCCCAGCAATAAGGGCCTGCAGGGGAACCTGGAGAGACAGACTGGGCCTGTGGCATCGGCAGAGTGAGTGAAGGAAGGCGGGTGGGTGAGGTTTTTCCAAGGAAATCTTGACAGGCCACGGTGACCAACCAGGGTTTGGGGGTCGGGGAGAGAAGATGAGTCAAGGATGACTCCAGGGTTCAGGCCTCTGTGACTGGGAGAAAGAAATCACCTTGCCAGGGGCAGGGGGTTAGAGGAGGAGGCTGGCCTGGGGTGAGGCTGCTGAATGCACTTTAGGACATGGAGAGTTGGTGAACCAGTGGGACGTTGAGCCAAAAATGTCCAACAGACAGTTGGAATCTGGGTCCTGGAGAGTGGGCTGGAGCTAAAGGCTTGGGGGAAGTCAGCTTTATTCAATTCAAGTAACCCACCATCAAACCATATTCAGTTACAAACACGTACTGAGCATCAGCTATGCACCAGGCACTGCAGTAGATGTGTTTGTGTGTGTGTGTGTGTGTGTGTGTGTGTGTGTGTGGTTTTTGTTTGTTTGTTTGTTTGCCTGCACTGTGTGACTTGTGGGATCTTAGTTCCCCAACCAGGAAATTGAACCTAGGCCCTCAGCAGTGAAAATGTGGAGTCCTCATCACTGGACTGCCAGGGAATTCCCTGCAGTAGATGTTTCTATACTTGATCTCATTTAATCCCCACCACAACCCAACAAAGTAGACATTATTATTCCAGTCTGACATACTGGAAGACAGAAACTAAGGCCCAGAAGGGTTTAGGAATTTATCTAAGTTGATGAAGTACGTGCCTAAGGTATGATTTGAACCCAGAGCATCTGACTCCAAATACAGTTCTCTTTATGCCTGCTGCTTCCTCCAAACTCCTCCCAGAGAATCCAAACCAACATTTGCAATGCGCTTTGAGGTTTACAAAGCATTTTTCATATCTCAGTTTTTATAGCAACTCTATGGGGTAGCTGTTGTTTTATCCTCGTTTTACAGACGAGAAAATTGAGTAATGATGATCAGGAAGGCGCTGTCCCAGATAAAATGGAGACATGAGGGTAAATATGACATGCTCCCATGCTAAAGGCCCTATATTCAGGAAAGAAGTATAGATGTGTATGCAGTGATCTACAATGCAAAACAGAGGAAGGGTTATAAATATTGTGACAGAGACACTAACAAAAATTCAATTGAACAAAAAAATTTTTGAGCACCTACTATGTGCTAGGCACTGGTATCAGGGACACAGGACTCAGTCTGTGCTTGGAGAGCTCACGGTGTAGTAAGAAAGACAGCAAGTTAGCATTTACCCTATAGTGTGAGAAGAGCTGTGCTGGAGGCATGTAACTTGTAGGGGAGCCCAAGGGGGTGTCAGGAAAGACTTGTTGGATGCGGTGAGGGACCAACCAGGGCTGAGCAGGAAAAAAAAAAAAGAAACAGAAGAGGAAAAAAGGATTGAAGCTGGAGCAGATGACGTTATGATTTGGGCTTTGAAGAACTATTAGTAGGATTTAAAAAGGGAATTCAGAGAACACTCCAGACTGAAACAAGGGCTAAAAAAGAGCACTTGAGAAACTGCAGTTGACTGGGTATGACTGGAGCAGAAGGTGCTGGGAATAGTTTCCCCCCAGTCTACATACCTGATTTACACTTAACCTTGGGTCTCCTATCTTTGTCCCCATTTTATAGATGAGGAAACACTGACCCAGAGAGGTTAAGTGACTTTCCCAAGATCACAAAGCTACTTAGTTGATTCACATGAATAATCCCAAGTTTCTGACTTCCCAGGTTCATGGCCCCATGGCCTCTAGTGGGGAGGAGCTATTTAAAGCCATGAGAGTGGATAAGCTTGGAGAGAGAGTGGCCAGGTGTTGAGTGATACCAGCTTTGGCATCAGACTGGCAGGATTTGAATTGATTTTCCAAAAGTACTGGCTGCGTGACTTTAGGCAAATTACTTAACCACTCTGAACCTCAATTTTATCAGCTGTAAAAGAAGACAGTAATAGTACCAACTTGCAATGTTGTTGTGAGAATCGTATTACATAATCATAATGCCTAGCACCTAGCACAAAGTAAGTTTTCAGTCAGTGTAAGCTGCTATGATTATTACGTTATTTCATTGTTTTTATTTAATAGAGGATCAGAGAGAGAAAGGTAGTTTCCAAGGCCCAAGCCTTGGGGAATAAGCAGAATTAGGCAGTGGGAACAGGAGGAGGCAGGCCCCTGCAAAGGAAATGAAGGAGCCACAGGAGGGGGTGGGGACAGAACCAGGTTCCTATAGAGTTGGAGAAGCCAAGGGAGAGAGTGTGGCAGGCTGCATCAATAGTGCCAAATTCTGCAGGGGAATGAGGACTGCAGAAAAGCTGCAGACATGCCTTGGCAGTACTGTGCAGCAGTTAAGCACAGGGCTTTGGAGTCAGAACGCCCGGGTTTAAATTCAAATCCCAGTTCAGCCACTTACTAGCTTATGACCTTGGGCAAATTATTTAGCCTCTCTAAACCTCAGTTCCCTCATCTATAAAATGAAGATAATAATAGTACTTACTATTATAATAGTGGTTGTAAAGATTAAATTAGATAATCCATGCAAAGAGCTCAGTCCAGACTCTGGCGCATTCCAAGGGCTCAGTCAACATTAGGTGGTGGTGATGGTATTATTATTCACGGAAGAGTCTCTCCTTCCCTGCACTAATACGTCCAGATGTCTCCTATTCGGGCAGTTCCTACCCCTTAGACCCCTCCCTGAATTATGCGTCCCTCTGCCCTTGGACATCCCTCATTGTCTCGCAAAGACAGCCTCTCTCTACATCCAGGCCCCTGCTTCGCTCATCTCTCGGCCCTAGGTGGAACGGAGGGGATGAGATCCGGAGATGAGAGAGCCGGAATCCTAGGACCTATCCAGAGAGGATAAGGAAGTGTTTGGGGCAGTGGGCTGTTCTGCCCTCCTGTCCCTCGTCCCCCAGTGCTGCCCCCACTCTACCGCCAGAGGGCAGCACGTGCACGAAGCATAAGCCCTTCGGGAACCTGGTTCTCCAGCAGGTGGCGGGCGAGAGGAGGAGGTGGGAAGAGGTTAGGGATGATGTCCCCAGTTTGAGGTCGCTTCTGCCCTGGGCGACCCCAGCTCCGCCGTTCAGAGGAGTCACTAAGAGAGTAGTGCCTGACACCTGGGTACCTGGGCTCGGATTTGCATCCCTAGTAGGGGAAGTGACATGTATAAGGGGCACAGGGGTCGCGTGCAGTCTCGAAAGAGAAGCTGTCAGCAGAAGAGCGAGGGCGGAAGGGGTGAAAGAAAGGAGAAAGGTCCAAGCTAGAGAAACAGGGTCGGCCATTGGTAGGGATACTGGACGCAGCAAGGGTCCCCATTAGAGGAAGCCCAGTGGAGCATTTGGTCAATGCCCCGTCTCCAGGCCGAGGGAGCCTTCGCCAGGACCAGGTCTTTCTGGAACGAATGTCTGGACATGGACACCCCGTCCTCTCTTCTTTTCGCCCTAGCGCCCCTTCATGCCTCCCGAGCTCCCTATCCCCGCCCCCGTCCTCAGCCCCGCCTCTGGGGCGGGCTCCGGGCCGGGCCGGCGCCGCCTCCCCTTCTCCGGGCCGGCCCGGCCGCACAGCCCCGAGCCACCCGGGCAACGAGCGCCGCGTCCCCGGCCTGCCCGGCCCGGCCAGGCTCGGCCTCCCCTCCCGGGTCCGCCACCCCAGGCCATGGAGCCGCGTCCCCCAGGGTCCCGCAGGGTAAGCCACCCGGCCCCTCCTCTCTCCCTGGCTCCCGCCGCTGCCGCAGCGCCCCCCCACCCCATCCCGGTCCTCGGGTTATCCGGCCCATCCCCCACGACCGGCGCGGCCCCAACCAATCTCCGGATCCCATCTGGCGCCCCCCAGACTGCTGCCACCATGCTGGATACCCCGGCCTCTGTTTCTCAGACCCTTGAAGTCCCCCAAATTTTCAGACTTCCCATCAGGTCCTACACCTACCCTCAAATTGCCACAACGCCGGTCAGATCCCTTATGCAGCCCTGACCCCATCTCAGCCTTAGTCCCCTTCCTAGCATCCCTCCCCCACCAGCTTCCACCTGCTCTTTAGACACCCTCTAGCTCCCTCTCTTTCCTGTTTCAATCGTTCCTGTCCCTCAGGTCTTCCCATCCCTGAGATTCCATCCCTCTTCCCTTTTTGCCTTTATTTGGGGTGGGGGGGGTGTGTGTGTGGTGGTCAAACAGGGGCAGCGGTGCCATCAGATAAAGGGCAATGGAAGGAAATATAATCATAGCCCCTCCTGGTGTTCCTGATCTGGTTTCCCCCTTCCCTCCCCCTTGCCCTTCCTGATTCATTTTGCCCCAGCTTAGGGGAGCGATTCCCTTTCATGTCTGTTATTGGAGGGCAGGTGGGAGGAGACTGTTTTGTGGACCTTTCCAGACAGTGTCTAGGCCAAAATCCTAGGGAAGGGGCTCTGGAGTGAGAGGGCTCTGGGAGATGCTGGCCTTCACCCCTCCCCAGAGAGCCCTCATCTAGGTCACCAGGGCCTCTTGACCTTGGCCTGGAGCAGCACTTCAGTGGCTCATATTCCACCTGCGCAGGGATTGGGCCCAGGAACCCTCACCTTCAGCCTGGTGTCTCCTCAGTTCCCGGAGGAGAGGGTGGGAAGGACCCACCTGACTGGGTTGCTGCCCTCCTTTCTGCCCACCTCCCACCCCTAGTTGGTGTTTATGGACTTAAGCCTGAGGAGAGGGCTGTGCAAAGGAAAAGGCTTTCACCTGGAGGAAGGACCCAAGCGGGACAGGGACCAATTTGCAGGGGATAGATGTTGGGACAGTCAGCTCACAGGTCATCCTCAGGGCACTGGGTCCTCAGCCACTCTGGGGAGCAGGCTGGGGTCCTGGGGTGGGGCACAGACAGAGCCAGGGACCTCTGCTTTCCCCTCTCCATCCCACTCCTCTCTCCCTACCATTTTCATCGACTTAGATTTCCTGGCCCAGATTGGGTTTCTGTTTGGGCTGAATTCCATTCCCCACCCAGCATGTGAGGACATCCAGGGGCTATGGAGAACCCTGGGGCAGAGTTGGGGGGCGGGTCCCTGATTAGGGAGGACTGTCGCCCAGAGGCTGGGAGCTGAGTGCAACATCTGTCTCCCCTTTCTGATTAAAACCTGTCTCCAACTCGGTCTGTCTTCCTGCCAGACACATCATACATTCACACCGATCAACACACAGCTAAAGATTGCACAACCTGACCATTCATGGCTTCGGCAGAGCACCCGACACAGAACTGTTGATACGGAAATGATGTACACACGGCACGTGACACGCCTTCACACTCCACCCCTGCACAGATTGATCAGACTGCCTAGACACACACAGACACACCCATTCTTCCCCTGTTTGGCTTTTCCCTGAAAAGGGCCTGGGCTTCCAGGAGGTGAAGAGTAAGCCACTGAGAGGGGCTGCTTCCAGCCAACGGCAGGCCAGGAAATTGACACTGGTCTGTCAGACTGGTTATCTGAACCTGGCTCCTTTCTCTGCCACTGCCAAATGGGATGGCGCATTTCACAGGGATGCTAAAGCCCCTTTCCAGACCACCTTCTTCCCCCTGCTCCGTGTTCCTGTCTCTCACCAGTGTCTCATGGGGAATCATGAAGACCTGGGTGCAGGGAGGGCCTCAGCTGAGGAGCTCGGTACCCCCAGCAACTTTTTTTTCACTTGATCCTTCCACCTAGAAGATAAAGTTTCAGCTCTAATCTGGTTCCATGCTTATGAGAGATCCCAGCCATCACCCAGTTTTGCTCAGCCTCAGCTGCATTCCAGGCTCGCCTCTCCCTGGCCGCCTGGGGGCCAGAAGGGAGGAGGACAGGGCAGGGAGGCAGTTTTCCTGCCTCTAGGCCCCTGGCTTTATCCCCATAGCAGAAAGCCTCAGACAGAAACTCCCATCCTCTTCCCACCTCATGTGAACTCTTGGCAGGAGACTGCAAAGACATCTGCTGACCCAGGGTGGGGGCAGAGGCCGTTCCTGATCCCTCCCAGCCCCATAGCCTTGCCCCAGAAGCCCTGTGACCAAGGGGAGGGAGTTCAGAAGATCCCCGGGCTGCCTCAGGCTAGCCCAGCTTCTTACGTTCTCCCACTTATTCCCGCTGGAGCCACCTACCCTCTCCTGAGTTCTTTTACTCCCTCTAGAAGCTACTGCTTTAAGAGGTCCAGGGAATGAGTGTGTTAGGGCAACCTGGGGCCCAGAGATGGGAAGCTAGGAACATCTGCCTCCTGGGACCAGAAGCTTGGCTTGGTTGATGGTCTTGCCCCAGAGCGGAGGCCGAAAAAGGCTTCAGCTGAGGGCCCTAGGATCTGGGATGCTTTGAGACTTCCTGAGTGGGCCTCTGGTGGGTCAGCCCAGGAGAAAGGTCAAGGTGACAGAGCTTGATCTTCATGGTATAACGGATGGAGACGAGTCCAGGTTCAAGTCCCGGCTCTGCTATTAAGTCATGCTCTGACCTTGGGCAAATCACTTCTACTTTCTGTCAAATGGGAGCGCTGGGCCAGGGGATCTCTCAGGTCCCTTCCAGTGCTATGAAGATTGGGCTGGGAGGGAATCAGGGAGCTGAGGCTCAGAGCCCTCTGGCATGCTGGGGGATTGGGAGGAGGCTCTGGGGACTTTGGTTCAACCCAGCTGCTGCCAGTGGGGTTGTGATGGACATGAGCTTGTGCTGGGGTTCCTGGCTCACCCCAGCCTGCCTCCACAGATGGACCCTGTGCAGAAGGCTGTACTGTCCCACACTTTTGGGGGACCCTTACTCAAGACCAAGCGGCCCATCATTTCCTGTAACGTCTGTCAGATCCGCTTCAACTCTCAGGTAAGAAACCCAGCTGCTCACCCATCCACTGGCTGGGGCAGGGACGACCAGGGGATCTCAGGGGAGGGCAGGGTCTGGGAGCTCTGGGTGAGGGGCAGGGATTAAGGGGATATGAGGGGATACTGCAGGAGAGGCAGGGCTGATGGAGAGCACTCAGGAGGGACAAGAGATGGCTGTATATTTTGACATGAAATATATAGCCCAGTCCTCTAAGACTGACCCTTCCCTCCCTTGGGGACTGAGGCATCCCTGGCTCAGAACTTCTTGGAACACAGGTGGCCATCTGTGTCTGGGTGGGAGTGTGGCCTCTGGCCCTCTGGTCTTGGGTACAGGGCTGAGTTATGTCATTGGCCCCCTGCAGAGCCCGTGCCCTCCTTGGCCTCTGCTAAACTCCTCCCCAGCTCACCCATTTCCCTCTAACCTCCTGGCTTCCTCCTCTCTCCACCATCCTCCCTCCAAATTACACACAAGGCCTGGCCCCCACTGCTCTCCCAAGGGAAAGCCTCTCCCATGGGAGAAGCCACCCCAAACTCAGAACCTTGGTGTCTGGCCTCCCAGATTTTCTCCCTCGGAGGCTCCCTTGGGACTTCTGTGTGGGTCTAGAGGGGGCTTCGTGGTGTGCAGGTTCTGAGAACTTTTGGAGAAAAACAGCAGAGCCTCATTCTGCTGAGTAGGAAAAAGAAAGCATGTTCTGTTTCTCCAGTACACATGCGCGTGCGCGCGTGCGCGCGCGCCACACCATGCTGCCAGGCTCTGCACACCCCTGGCCCACCCCTGGGCTGTCAATCATTTCCTGCCTATCCATACCTTTTATTTCTACTTTATGCCTGTCTGGGTGACCTTGTGGTTCCAGGATTGTGTGTTATTAGCAGGGGGTGCACACAGTGTGGGGTGGAGCCAGGACCAACCCAGATTTAGACCTCCCCTTGACCTCGACCCCAGGCATCCCCTTTCCCAACCCTGGCTCTGCTCACTGCTGGAGGGTGGGAGACTGGAGGGGCCAGGGGCCAATAGTAAACAGCCCTCTCCTCTTTTTCCCCTCCCCTCCCCTCCCCCAGCAAGCGCCTCTGTTTTGACAGCTGTGTCTGCTGCTCTCTCTGTCTCCAGAGCTGGGCTTGGGGCCAGGGTCCTCCAGGGTGTCCGCAGAGGCTTCAGGGAAAATGAGACCCAGAGGGGAGTAGTCAGGGTACAGCCCAGGCTGCAGAGCTCCTGGGACTCCCAGCTTGAGGGTGGGAGTCCCAGGAGCAGCAAAGGCTGGGTCCTGGGGCCAGGAGACACAGGCACAGAAGGCCGGGGGCCGAAGAGGATACGGACTGGCTAGATTACTCGGCCCCTCCCATTTAGGGTTCTCCTATAGGTGTGGGGCCCCCTTCCCTCACCCCTGGACAAGGTGGGAAGCCTGAGTCAGCAGGCAGGCCCTGGGTGTGGTGGTGGGGTAGAGCCTGGGCTAGGTGGGGACCCAGGTTCCCAGCAACTGAGTAACCAGCGTCCTCGACATGGGGCTTTACCTCTTCCTGGTGTAGGGAGAGGTTAAGTGCAGCCTGCTGAGGCCACCCCAGCACCTGAAGGAGCTCCATGGGGAGAATGTTCAGATGAAAGGTGATCTCAGATTCCCTTTTCTTCCTCCATCCCTATAGAGCCAGGCTGAGGCACACTACAAAGGTAATCGCCATGCCCGAAGAGTCAAAGGCATCGAGGCTGCCAAGACTCGAGGCAGGGAGCCCAGCGTCCGGGAAACAGGAGATCCAGCTCCCCCAGGCGGCACGCCCCCAAATGGAGAGGGTGTAGCCCCCCGTCCAGGTATGTCTGACTCCCCCCAGCATCCTTCAACTGAACTTGTCTCCTCCATTCTGTCCCCACTTCCCAGAACTCTCCTCTGCTTTCATCTCTCTCTTCCTCAGCTCCCACCCCAGCCCCACCCAAGGTGAGTCCTGCAGCCAAACCCAGTGACGCAAAATTTCCATCCTGTCACCCCCACTGCTGCCCCAGCTCCTCTCAGCAGAGTCCCCACTGCCTGCCCTCCCCACCTCCCAGTGACTCAGACAGGGGCTAGGGTGAGGCTACCTGGCAAACTTCCTCAAGAAAAAGGGAACCAC